ACGCGTATCCGATTTGACATAAAGATATCCTGGATAGCAAGGGCAATGTGATCAGATCAAAAGTAGTACCTTGATAATATATATATATATATATATGATTATATAATATTATATATGTAATATATAATACATATATATAATATATATAATATTATATAATGTGTATATATATATATATATAATATTTAACATATATATATATAAATGAACAAATCCTGTTGTCGCAAAGTGTCACTTTGCATAAAGGTTTTTTTTTGTGAAATCCATGGGTTCACCATTCGCTGATGACCATGGCATCATGGGAAAGTCCCATGATTTCAACATCCAACTTGGAGGATTCCACTGGTTGCTTATCATTATCCCTATTGGAATTGCCACAACTGAGGGTATACCCGGGCATACTCAAATACTCGTAATACTCCTATCATATTGAGTTGAATATATCCCATATCCCAATATTAACCTATTGAAATTCCGGTATATCTTAAGGTATACCCACAGTTCAAGGGGTTACGGGTTACCCTTCTCTTTTTTTTGGGGGGGGGGGCACGAAAATTGAACCCCCCCAAGGTCGGGCTGGAAAATCACCCCCAGATCGATCTCCGTAGGCAAAGTCGGCAAACGTCTGGAGGCATTCAAGTGACTGGGAAGTGGCGTTGAAGTATCATCAATGGCCCCCCAAAACATGGCTTTATATGGTACATTGCCTCCATTTTAGGATCCTGAAATTCTAATTGATTTCACATGTCTGTTGAAATTATGGCGACTTGACAACCACGATAATCCGATAGTGCTTTTTGCGGAATCATCCAAAAGAATATAACACATCACTAATTTCAGGTTTGTGAATTCTTCCTGTATAATGTGCCTTCTGCCCAAACAGGCTGGAAGTAGAAACAATGGACAAGTGGATTGGGTCAGGAACCAGCAATGCCCAGTTGCGGCGTGCCAATGCTCCCAGAATTGGTTCAACCCTTTTCGGTATGGAAATCATGGTCTCCCATAGATTTACTGCAGATTTTTAACGTGAACCCAAACCAGTGAAGCGAATCCGGCGCCAACAAAATCCGGGGATCATTGATCTTGGATATACAATGCATTTGGGATCATGCGGGAAAATTCTGATATTCACAAACATGAGGTGGCTCTCACAATTCCTGCGTGTGTCTATTATACAACATATTTGATACATATAGATGATAGATGGATGGATGGATGGATGGATGGGTGGATGGATAGATAGATAGATAGATAGATGCATAGATAGATAAATAGATAGGTAGATAGATAGATATTGATATTGATATTGATATTGATATAGATATAGATATATATATATATATTATTTTTTAAAAAAATATTTATGTAGAGAGAGAGAGAAAACAAATCCATGGTTTCTATTGATGTCGGTCAGTGATGCATTTCTAACTTGCTTGGGACTTGTCACTTTCTCCGCAGGTCTTGAGCTGCGTTTCCTGCTCCCCGAAGACATGGAGGACCTTAAGATGTGTTGCAGGGTTTGCTTTGGATGGCCGGACCTCCTAGGAAACCTTTGAATAAGTTAATGGCTTGCTGTTTTACAAACCAATTTTAGGAGTTCACAAACCAGGTAGAACTGACTAGTTCAACATGTCACCCAAAAAAGGCTATATAACAAGGAAACCCCAAACAATGTGGCCCTCAAAGATGAAATTCCTCTTGGAAGCAGTGGTCTTGGGCTTGAATGTTGGTTTTCAGGGGTGAATTTGTGCTGTTCCATCCCTGAAAATATGGAATGAGATCATCCCAAGCGAGAATATGTCATTGAATTTTACTTTTAGTGAGTTTCGATGCCTGATCAAATGGAAATAGCTGGAATGAGGATCGCACTTGAGAACTGCTTATGAACAAAAATAGTTAGTATATAGGGCCAAGAGGGGTTATTTTCAGGAACTAACTCAAAAAAACTAGTTCTGGCATAACCCCAGTCAGATTAATCCCAAGTCACTTATTTTTTTGTTGTGGAGCGCAGCTGATCTTCAGGAGTTTGAGGAGCCCGTGGGAGTGGTGTGGGATCACTCCAAGTGCCCCTGGGCCATTGATGAATGTCTGGGTCAACCTTGGATGGGTAGCAGAATCCTTTAAACTTTGCATATCTTTGCTACAAAAATAAATTATCATGAAATATCTACATTGTACATATATCTACTAACAGCGAACAAAAAAGTTTTTTTTTTTTTGCAGGGTATCTGAGAGTGGCAATGATTATTCCCTTTTCCCTAATATTAAATAACCCATGTATGAAATCTTTGGTGGCCCACATGGAGTGTATTCAATCTTGGTTCTATAGTATTTATTGGGTATCATTGGGTTATATGTTAAATGAAATAACCCTTAATGCCCTATACTAAATAGATAGATTTGTCCATTTGGTGGGCGTATTTGATGTTCGGGACATTTCCCAAAGTTGGCACAGGCTTTCGCAAAGCAGTGGGGCTAGGTGGTCTGGCAATGAAAGAGTTTGGGCCAGTCTGTCTTGCAACATACCCAAGGCCATGCTGGCTACTTTTTTTTGTCTGCACATGGATCAACGGTTTTGCAATGAATGAATTATCATCATTTTCCCAATGAAATAGCCATTTTTAGATTTAAAGTATATACTTTCACCCATGTACAACCTACGTACAGTTGACACCTGAAACAGTTTTGTCCATCTGCACGCGAGGGAGGGCGAAACAAGACACAGAGGAGGAACACAAAGACATAGCAACAAAAACGTAAGACATAGCTTGATATACCCGAGGGCAAACTAACATAGATGTGGAACATCTCCATTATTATAGGTAATTCATCCATAAATTGGCCATGTTCCACATCTATGTTAGTTTACCAGGTAGGTGGTAAGCCGAGCAGCCCAACCCCCTGAGGCCTAGGCCGAGATCGGCGCTTGCGTTGGGAGATTGCCACGGTCTCGCCCCCTTTGTCGGTGTTAGAAGAGCTGCAAGCGGTCGTGACTCGGACCAATCCTTTGGTCGATTATATTGTGAAGTGATATAATACCATGCTAAGCTACCAATAATTATGTTATAATGATTACTGTCAGAAACAATACTATATATATAGAATAATATATAATATTATGCTCAATATTGCCATAGATTATATAGTATTATAATCACTAGTGGTCATATATATATATATACATATATATATATGTATGTATGTATGTATATATATATATATATTACTAAGTATAGTCATCTGCACTAATGGTCACTATAGTAGTATGATTGTGATATCATTCACATATATATATATATCATACTAATTATATAGTAGTATTATAAACTACATATTGCCATGTACTAATGGTAATACATATATATATATATACACTATATATACTAAGTATATGCTCTATACATTACGACTCAAAGACGGTCATCCCAAGGGCCCAGGCCAAAAAACGGGTCCAAAAAACGGAGCTGTGGGAGCGTTTTTGTGACGGGTTCGAAGCGTTGTTGTAAAAAGAACCGGAAGAAAAACGTGGTCAGAAACGTAGAAGGCGATGGAGAATCACATGAAATGACTATATCTTAATAGGATTTAATAGGATTTAATAGGTACATCATCTAGAAATTCTAGAAATTGATCATTTTCCAGAGTTATGTTGGTTTAGTGGAGGGTGAATGGTTGGCAAGTTGGTAGAGGGAACAGTCCCTAAATGATCGAATTCTTCAGCTAGAAGCCTAGATCTGGAATCCGGACAGGGATGGTCATCATCGAAAGTTGACGCAGTTTCGCTGGTGGGTTTTCCCTGTTCTAATTGATCCAGATTCCCATCACTGGGTTCATCCTTTCTCCATCCTGGTGTCAAAAACATGAGGCTGCCAGGCTCACCTCCCCGAAACGGCGGCCTGAAATCCAGGTTTTTGACACTCAACGACATTCTCATAGCAACAAATTATAGCAAATTGAGCATTCTGAAGGATTCTAAATATTGAACTTTATCACTATGAACAATGATATGATTAGGAACAATTGCTAACAATTCTTAAAGGTTTTTAACCACTCTTAAGAATAATAAATCTGCCAATGAATATTCACTACCATGAACAATGATATGATTGTTAGTAACTATTCACAATGCTTAACTTAACAATTTTCAACTACAGAATATGACTATCACCAATGATGATGAACCACTAGTAACCACTGCAATGATTGATAAATTTGAATCTGACACCCGTTCTTACCCCAAGGAGAAGGGCTCTGCCGCCTCTCTGGTTGGCATTGGTGGCTCCGCAGGGATCAAAAGCCCTTTGGGGCAAGAACTGGTAGAAGCTTGGCATAGCAACCCGCTTCGCTTTCGGTAAAGATCATCTCTTAGCCCCAGAGGGAATAATATGGAGTACTTATATGGGATATATACATAATATATATTATATAATATATATTATATATAATATAATTGGGATATGAATGGGATATATATATACCCTGAACGACCAAACCCTGGAAATTTGTCGGGTTTGCAGCGAAACCCCGTGTTTGGACAACATATGACCTGAAACCCCGGGTTTGCATTTTAAACCCCGGGTTTTACCAAAAAGCCGGGTCAGGCCCAGGAGAACAGTCGGGATGGAAACTCTTGATCAGACTTGGTTAGGTTGATCAAGCCGTGCATCACGGCTGAATGATGTTTGGTGGCAGGATGATGTTGGATGATGATCAAATTTTCCAATGTCAAATGGTTTTATATATCGATGTATGTAGATCAACCCCAAATTCTAAGCATAATGATGATTGAATTCAATAGTCTTATAATATCTTATAATGAATTCCGTATTATTCGGGAATTGCGACGTGCACAGTGTACCCGTTCACAACAGCAATCAAACAATAACATATATACCACATTGAATCACTATATTTGGTGGGCCTGTGGGTATAAAAGGCACATGATGAATCTTTGCAAGGAACCTTCAGTACATTTATTTCCAGTGTCTGGTCTTTCAGGGTATACTTGTCAGGAAAAGGGCTATATATGAAACAACAATTATTTGCACATTTCCTCCTGCAAAAGCAATGGCTTTTTCCACGAGATGAAGCATCAGTCCGGGCTCCCGGTACAAGGGCGGAAGTGAAAATCTCAGCTACCCAGTCTCATTCTGCATGACATTGTCCTGGAAGCAGGCAATCATTTTCTCAATCAGATTGTGCCCACGTGCGCAGTCAATTTTTTTGCTCAAGCTATGGCAAAAACAAAAAAATCAGCCCAGGCAAAGAAGGACCAATGCAGTGGGAAAGGAAACGCTGATGATGGGAATGGGGAAACAAATTCTAAGGAAACGGTGTCGATCGATGGTATTGCGAGAGAGTGGGACCAAAGTGTTGATATGAAAGAAAGACTTCTGAGTGGTGGGAATCCACTACATCCTGAGACCCCAGTGAAGCAGGAGGACAACAACATTTGTGTCTTGAACAAGGATTTGCTTGTTCCTTGCCTTTCTCGCATGTGTATACTCACGAAACGTCCAATTCAAACCATTGACGACTTGCGACAAGAGGTGACAACCCTGCTGACTCTTAGCAAACGAACAGGGAATGATGTTGTAGCTGCTGTGGAAACAACAGCGCAAACCCTCAAGAAGCTGTTGGTCTTCGTCAAGGCCAAAGTTCGCAGGAAGGAAGTCTCTACGGTTACTTGGCTGGATTCAAGGGTCAAACATAGTATGGAAAATAACTCAATGGAAATCCCAAGTTTTGACTTCGTGTTTTTCAGACCTGGACTTGTTTACCACATGCATGGACACATGCAAACATCCGAAATATGCCTGAACACATATATACATATATATATATATACATGCATGTATAGCGAAGACAGGTGATGAGTAGTGACTGCATTAAATTGATGCCTGTTGCCAAAACATGGAAAATCATCGATGTACTGTTTTCCACGATATGTAAGGATCCCAACTTCCAAGAGATTTGCTTGACCCTGGACCCCATGCTCCAGGCTAGGTCTGGTCTCTCAACTATGGCACATGGTTTTTTCCACAGGGGTGCCAAGAATGTGTTGCTCAAAGTTTGTTGTGTTTTTTCAAATGCTGTTTCAAAAGACTTTTTACCTACACACGCATATATAGTTCTGTGTTGATTTGTAAGACCCCTGTCCAGTCTACAGTTCTCAGTATATATATTCTTGTCTTGCACAGGCCGAAGTTGACAAAGTGAATGCAAGAAGGAAAAAACAAGCGTCTTGGCTTTCAAGTACAAACCAAAGCCTTGAGTTACTATAGTGGCCTGATGGCATAGGATCTGATATATAATTGGCAGGAGCGATGGTTTCATCATATATAAGATTACGTTTTCCTGGACTATAAAGTATATCACCTGACAAGTATCGTCTTGTTGCCTTTACTTCTGAGAGAAGCTTAGGCTGCCGATGAAACTTCTGACGATGAGGATGCCTATGGACAGGAGGATGGGAGGGGAGAAGAAGGTGAAGAAGAAGAACCGAAAGAGACAGACCCGGTGATCCCAGATGAACAGGTCTTGCAAGAGAAGGTAGAAACACATGCAAAGGAAACGAAGGAACCTAAAATGCAACAGCTGACCAATCCACCTGTCAAGAAGGATGAACGAGCTGCCCCAGCCCTCCCAGCAAAGACTTCGCCATCAGAGACCCCGCCAGTTGAAGGTAGTACTGGCAACACCCCTGCTGATACCACATCCCCGGTTTCAGAAACAGAGAGAAACTGGTTTGCAATTAGAACTTCAACATCGATGTTTGTTTGAGCAAGAGTTGTATGTCCAATGATGCAAAGCATAGTGTTGCTGATCAAGGGTTGGGGATGTCAGCTCTGGGGTCTTATATATCTGCGACGGCTACCATACACATGTATGTTCAGGAAGGAAACTGGACTTGCTCAAGAGAAAGCAAGAGATTGCTGCGCGGCTCGAAAGGTGAGTGGGTGGGCTTGGGTGGGGTTCTCGTCCTACAACACGCATGTTAATTGTAAATCTATATTTGCTGCATGTGCTCATGTGCGATCTTCATAGGTTAACCATGGAGGATATGACTGATTCAGGATTAAGATATGGAAGTGGGAAACTATTGTTCTGATGGTCTCGCGCTGGTCTATCTATGTTTGCTGCCCTTTGCAGGTTGAATGAGCTGAAAGCCAAGGGCTCATCAAGCCTTTCTCCTCCAGTGTCAGGGGGCCAAGGACAGGGTATAGATGCAATTTTGTGTTGCGACTCTTATGCGATATTTTCTACACTCTGCCTGTTTGTACTGATCAACATGTAATGATCTATATATTATATATATATGTGGTTTTAGTGAATCAAACACATATATAACAAATGGTTTGAACTTTGCTGAAGTAATGCCGTTGGTTCCACAACACTGCAGATCGAGATCCCCGTCTTTATGTATCCATATAATGAACTGATAATCATACCACCATATTGTATCCTGTTGTTCAACCAATGCATCGGGAGGATCTGGCGGTAACAAACCACCTACTGCAGCCACCGACTTCCAAGAGACTCTCCCTACTGATCTTCAAGCCTTACCCGTTCCACCGGAAACCTGGGCAACTTTTTCACCTGATGTCCCAGCTGATGCTAAGCGAGAGTCTTTTCAGAACCGACGAATGGCAAAGGGAGAAACAATCGAGATGGGCTGTGAAACCTCCTGCGAACTGCAGCCTATCACAAAAAAAAGCGAACCTGACCAACCAGCCCAGGACACTCAGAGAAAACCCAAGTCCTCCAAGCCTGCTGCTAAGGTGGGGAAGTATGGGAAAGGGGTGTCGCTTGCAATGTTTTGACTTATTGGATTCTGATTCTTGCAACATTACTTTCCTTTGATATATAAAACTCGATTTCCTTGTTGATGCGAGGCAGAGGTAGAAAAGGATACACCTGAGGAGTATGTTACAAGAAACGACCAGTTCAATCTCAAGCCAGAGAAGGCTCCGAGAGAGAGGGGACGGGGAAGAGCAAGAGGAAGAGGACGTGGAAGGAATGGTAGAGGTGAAGGGGCCGGGAGAGGCACTGAAAATGGAGGTCGAGGTCGGGGTCGAGGAAGAAATGTTTCAAAAAACAAGGCTGGCCAGTCAGCAGACTGGGATGAGAACACATGGTGGGATGAGACATGGCAGGAAGGCTGGGGCTATGAAGGGGAGGAATGGGCACAGGATGGGTGGGGGACCCCGGGCTACTACTGGGACAGCTATGCATGGCAGGATGGCAAGCAGTCATTGCACAACCTTGCTGGCCAAAACGAAGGAACGCCAAAGACTTCAAAGGTTGAGAAGAGCAAGCCTGAGAGCAGCAAGCCAGAGAGCAGCAAGCCAGAGAGCAGCAAGCCAGAGAGCAGCAAGCCAGCAACAAAAAGATTAAAAACTGAAGAAGAACTTGCAGAGAGCAACGCAGAGACCAAGAAGCCAAAGAAGAAAGCACCAGCAGCCCCCAAGAGAAATGCAAAGAAAAAACAAAGGAAGGAAGTTGAGACTGAGCGAGCATTGTCATCGACTTCTTCATCCAAGAAACGTAAGAAGGCAGAAGGTCAGGCAGAGGAGACAGAAACACAGGAACCCGATGTGTCCACTAGCAATGACAAGAAGAAAAAAAAGAGAACCGCACCACAGGCAGCCCAGGCAAGCACTGAGTTTATGAAAAAAATCAAGAAGTACTACAAACTTTTCCAAGACAGGGATGAGACTGCAGCAACAGATGAAATCAAAAATGAAATGAAATCCCGCTTACAATGTGGCAAGGCTTTGACTGAGTGCAGGTTGAACATCTACTGGCAGGGGCCGAAATGTGGTGTTACTTCAAAATCAAACAAGAAGGACATAGCACACTTTACGTTCAATGATGTTGAAGACATCACCTACATGTCGTCGTTGGCCCTGGCATTGAAGTGTGCAGAGCTCTTTGTAACTTGGGTGCACAATGCGGGGCTGTACCATGTATAGTTTCAAACTATTATCATGCATAGCATACAAATCAAAGATATGAATCAAGCAAATATATAACATTACTTCTTGCATGATCAGCACCAACTCTGGGTTATATTGTGTTTTTACATCACCTGTCGAGTGCCCATGCCTTCTCAGCCTAGGCACTGGATGTTGATGCAGGCTTGGAAGTTGGTGAGATTAACTGTGAGGAACTGTCGAAAGACAATCCGTGGTGTGAGACACTAGAGGCTATTTTGAAAAAATCGGCTTGGGCTGTTGTAGGCCATGATGTGTAGGCGTGTTGTTGCTTAAATTTTTCACGTGCGACCTGAGTCATTTGCAGTATTGCTGGCTGCATGTGTGTCGGTGGGATGCCACCATAGTTAGCTCAGGTGGCAAATCATTTTTGTGGGTTCACACGTTTGCGCCAGCTTTGGCACTGCGGGGCGTGCAAGTTGTAATGACCCAGTGGCAACCTACTAGTCTTAGTGTAAATCCCAGTCATATTTTTCAAGCCGTTTTGGTTTTATCATTTATACTTGTTTCGAGTGATTTACATGTCAAATTGAAATCATTATCGTCATGGTTTATCAAGTCATTTTGATTGAGCAACTGGTCACTGCAGCACGCTTAGCTTTTGACCTCGGCCAACCAATTACTACGACAGTTTGGGTGACCACACTGGCATTTGATGGGTGAAGATCCATACTCTGAGAAATAAACAGGAAAGTCCAATCTTCAGAACATGTATTGCGATCTTGCACCAAAGACCACATTTAATCTTTGAATCTATATTCATCGGGTACCCTGATTTCAACAACCCTTTCTGTCCTGCTTCAGAAAATGATGTCAAAGCAGCACGTCTAGGATAGGCCTGGCACAGCTGGACTCTGGAGGAAACCAGCTTGAGGCAGAAAAAAGGATTGGAGAAAGCGTCCTGATTTTGGGAGGGTTTCATGTTTCGATATCAGTAATTTTTGAACTGATGGAAATCCCACACGAGATTGGTTCAAAAGGTTTCGAGGTGTTTGCCAAGAATTCCACACACATGCGCCTGCATGATGTCATACATTTATAAACAGTCTCCAACAATTTCTGCAACGTCCCCACCAATTTATATATAGATCGATCGACCTATCAATTTTGATATATTAAATTGAAATCATTTAAGTAGTCAAGACCCCTTTCTTTCATTGCCCCACATTTGGTCTACCAACCGATGCCCGGACCCTAGGTCATCCTATGGTAGTAGATGGCCTTCGAAAGCTCCAGAAGGGGCGGAACCTGTGGAGAGTGCGGGTGGACAACTTGAAGAGAGCTAGTACTGCTTGCATGGTTTGTTTTGGGATGGGTTTAGTCTTTTAAAGTGGTTTACATCCAGCTTGTCATACAAAATTGGGGAAAACCACAACAATTCCATGCAAAACAAACGATGTGAATTGGATCCTGGGTTGAGAAACTGTCAGGGATGAATCACAAGTGTAAAGAATGGCTTTCGCATCGCAGCCTTTTTCATACAGGTTGCATATACCACAAAGGTTCTTTGATGGCAATGACCTCCAAATAGTTTTCTGGATCTTCCATTATTTTCCATGAATTATGAATGATAGTCATGCCTCCAAATATAAACATTGATCAATTAATAACATGTTAAAGATAAACAAACATGATCAAAATTAATTGATATACTATTGTAATTTACTGCACGTATAAAAATCGGTCTATTCCCATGGTACCTGAAATCTCAGCTTTCTGTTCTTCACTGTCTAATCCCCTGCTGCCATGGCGTGGATCGATGACCTTATCTGGCGCTTACACAAGCTCCGTTGCCCCAAGGAAAATGATGTTGATGAATTAGCCTTACAGCATGCATGAAAAATATGTTGAACTGGAGCCAACAATTCATTCAAGTGAAGGGTTGGGTTTATCACACGTACTGCACTGGTTGCGCAGTAGTCTTGTGTATATTATTTTGGTTTTGTCCAGTTATCAGCGCACCTGTCCATCTGGCTTCAGGAGTTTGCGTACTTGATCCTTCTCATCACCTGGATGGATTTCGACTTGCGCCAGGCATTGCACTTTGGGGTGCTGGTCTCAAAAAAGAAATCCTCTTAAACAGGAAAAACACCAGGTGCATTTTGGGCGTGGGAATCCTAACATACCCAGATCAAATCGATATATCAAATAATTCAAATCGATATATTATATATGCTATCGACCTTTTATTATAGTTGAAGAATTGTTATCCGAATCTGGGAAGTGCCATGCTTCCTGTCTCCAGGAAGTCGACTACATAGAGTACTTCGCAGGCTTTGGGCGCATCAATGACACGATGAAATCGGCGAGGTACCGGAGTGTGAGATTCGATATGAAGGATCACAACCCCAAGCCTGGCACGAAACGAGCCAAGAAGACAAATTTCATGGACTTGAACAGTGCATCGGGATATGCGTTTCTATGGCGATAATATGGACTGTAATATCAATGTTTCATTAAAAGAGATCGACTTTTTTTATTATATATATATATAGATCTTCATTTGGGATTTGTCAATGCCCCATTCCCCAAACTTATGGGAGTTAATTTATATGTTTGACCTATGGAATCGGTTTAGCAATTGTGGTCCTGCAGTCCCACCTGTTGTGTTGCTCTGTAAGGTTAGCAATTCTGATCATGTTGAAGGGGATCATGAACAATTTTGCTGCACACTTCGGCATCAAGTGCAGCTCCTTCTGCAAAGTAAACGTTGGTACATCGATGAGATCTGCATGCACTTCGTTGGGTTTCAGTGACTATTCGTCGGTCTTTCTATCCAACAAGCTCTTGGAGAGGATTCCCTTCAGTGTTTGGTTGCTTTTACAACAAATTATAGTTAAGTGATGTATCATTTTTTTTACTGGAACACAGTTGATTTCATAAATGGATGTTGAAAACCAACTCCAGTGACCAATCAAATTGATTGCAACCGGTGGTCTCTTGCCTGCATAGCCGGCGCAGGACTTGCACCCTCGTAGTTCTTTGCACAGCCCTTGGGGGGGCATGGTCGTTGGAGCAACCTTCGGGATCTCTTCTTGAGTTTTATCCTACATGGAGGTTCATACTCGCAAGCATCTTTAGATGTGGAGGAGACCGAGCCGTCATATCCTTAGATGTTCTTTTCTATATGACCCATGTATATCAAGAATGTGACAACTTTATTTCGAGATAACTGGCATCATTTGTGACTATACATATATACTATATCCATCCATTCAATTGATCTACAATTGTACCATTCCACTAGGGGGTCCCTATATATGCCCATCAACTCTTCCATAAAAATCAGCTCAGGTGACCCTGGTGAAGTGGTGGATGCGCCACTATGATAGCGCAACAGCAAAGAGACATATGGGTTTTGCCAATACACCAGTGATTTCCAGATTGGACAAAGGGAAGTTATCTATGTCAGGCTTTCAGAAGAATCCTAAGCTTCGAACTTGCGAAAAGTATCAAGACGGTTCTGGTAAGACCCGCTACAAAGGCACTCGCTTTCTGAAGCAAACAGAGACACTTTACACCAACTTAAGGGTTACGGAAAATTTTGAAACTAATTTTGGGTATAGGTAGATGTCATTTACAGTTTCCTACGTTGGATCTGCAATATGACTCCCAGAATGCTCAAAACAACTGTTCTATGATTGGTCTAGTCATGTTCATTTTTTTTGCACGATATTTGCCAATGTTACCAATTGAAGGGTTTACCCGCCAACTAGTCCTCAGGATTTATCCTCCCCGATTTGCTCGTGCTGTATGCGACCTGGTCGAGGGCATGAAGATGACAGCGCGCGGTCAGCCTCAGATCACCATGGAGTCAACACCGCCAGCTATCGAAACGATTCAATTGGATTGGGAGTTTGACCCATCATTGTGGCAATACGTGGATTTCGGTGAAGTTTTCGCATACCTTCGGGGTTCAACCAATCTGAACATTCCCGAACCTTGGAAAACAATAATTCCAAGAAAATTATCATAGATTTCAAAGTCGAAATCGGAACAAATTGCAGTTCTGATGAAACCCAGGGTTTCCAACATGGAAAATTTTGGTTTAACACAAGTTTTTTCCAGAAAAAACAGGGTTAGAAATTTTGAAACATCGGAACCCGTGTTTAACCCGTGATTTACCCGTGACAACCCATGATTTTACAAGGGAAACCCTGGGTTTGGAGCATGAAACCCCGTGTTTGATATAAAACCCCGGGTTTCGCCGAACCCGTGACGAACCCGTGATTGACCCGTGATTTACCCATGACAACCCGTGAAAAAAATCACGGGTTGAGACCCCAAAAATCACCTTAAAATTTTCATCGATTTTTGTACTTTTTGTATGCTTACGATCGGCAAAACCCGGGGTTTTTCAAGCAGCAATTCAGATTTTCGATTTCATTTGCGTCGAACTTCAATCTTGGAAAATCCGAGAACACACAACCTACAGTTCCAGACGCGACCTTGCATGGATACGGAAGGAACACATGATATATATAGTATAGATCAGCCATGGGATCAAGATATCAAGATACCTGGAATTCATTCTTACTTTGAGCACTCGGCATGCACAAACAACACCATGGATTGCTGGTTCCACCGTTTTATCATCATGTCTAGACTGGATATCTGATTAAGCCATTTGGATCATTTTGGAAGTGTCGGCGTGTTCGTTTTCATCGGCATGGCAACCTCATGTTCGAACCTATGGAGCTGTGCCAGTTTGCAAGAGGGGGTCGACCATACGATGGGCCAGTGCTTTCATCCAGATGAAGAAGCCGATCTACTCAAAGAACTTCAGGACTTGAAGCATGTATCGATTCTACAACACTTTCATGTATCATTAAGATATATATGGATGATTTATGATTGATCTTCATATGTTTGCTTCAATTTCACTATATATATATATATATATGCCGTGATGCCAAGCAAACTGCATAGGTTCAAAATGGCACAACATCCCATTTTTCCAGGAGATTGATCTAGAGATCAAGAACTGTGATGATGGCATCCAGACCCCTCCAGTCAGTGCCAGAATCCTAGATGGTATCCCATTTCCCTGATCATGGCTTGTCATCCCGGCACCGCCCTTTTAGGTTGTGCCACAGACACCGTCGATCTTCTCGGATGCTACGCAAGCAGTCCAAACCTAAGCAATCCAAACAACCCATCGGGGTGTGTAACACATGAGCCCAGCGATGTGTGAGGCCACTGATGCGGAGCTAGCCGCTGCTCGAGGTTCTGTGGGTGATGAGCCGAAGATGGATGTCCCTCAAATAAAACAAGTTTGGGTGGTCGTGTTTGATATGACACCTCAAAATTAATATAACTTAAGTTGAATTGATTGGATTACTCGATATATTCACGCATGTATGATCTCTGTGCTGTAGGTGATGAAAAACATAGACAGACTTATAATATAGCATTACTTTATGGCGAATGCATGGTATTTATATCAATATTATATATATATACCATGCATGTATTCTGTTGGTTTATAGGTTTCATCTCGGCCTGTAAGACCACCGAGGTTGAACAACACTCAGCAACACCTGTTGCAACACCTGTTCGCAAACGGGATGCTGATGCTTCTTCAGTGGGTGGTTCGGGGAAGGGTGAAGGCGAGCCAGATGTTTCTATGAAGCCGTGTGAATCACAGGAGTCCACCCAGCCAACAGTCAAAAAACACCTCTGCCACAGCAGCCTCAGCTAAGCCTGAAGGGGTTCTAGCAGTCCCTGGTCCCAAGCTGATTGGAGGTTTGACCCAACGCCAGGCTTGGTTTTCTGGAAACTTGGAGGGTTTGTCTTTAACACCGACCAGTTGTAATGTATCAATTGGTTTTGCCATATGATTATTTCCTCCGTCCTCCGTACCAGTGTTCCACACAAATTTTATTTTGCATGTTCAATGCCCAATTGCTGATCCCCTGAAGTTCAATCTTCGAAGAGCTGCAAAAGCACGGGTGGATCGGATGGTGAAACCACATGGCAAGAGAACTTGGCTGAACGTGCCCCAGTGGCTTAGGGATGAATGGAAAACTGGTTCAAAGGATCAGATCGCAGATGTGCTCCGGGATAGCAACTTCAATAAGGATACCGTAGAATTTTGGTTGTACTTTTGGAACGACCCTCCTAATTCCCAAGTATAAGTGTGATATATCATATCGATTACTTAATATCGATATATAATATATATATATGCACCTGTCAGTTTGGGATGTCAAGGGGGAGAGATATGCCGGGTATTATGATGTTGATGTTGGTCAAAAATATTTCCTCATCCTTTATAAATCAAATTTTATGTATATTACCTCTCAGAAAAAGAACTGCATGTGCACAGGAGATGTTCATTGCAACAATGAAGACGATCATCACGAAGAAGCAAAGCATGCAGCTGAAGCGAGAAGAGGGCTGGTATTCAGCTGCGGAAATGTCTGCAGATTTGGGCTGGTCTACGTAAGAGCCTTAATATATTCCAAAAAATCATATGAACGCTAAACAAGAATGAACACAATTTCTCAAGATTCATTTCACCAAAGATCGAGATATAGATTTTGTTGTGGATTATTTGTGGTCCAGTCCAACCTCACTGCATTACTCGAAGGTCTCGGGTACAGGGAGCTGTGCAGCGATGCAAGTCCATGGCAGCTACCCACGTCAGGCATGTGGGAACATGTCTGAATCTCCTGTTTGGGAAAATGTGGATAAATCATGATGGATCAAATTGTTTCGGGTTGTTTTCAACATGCAATATGTACGTGCATGTGTATTTCACAGTGTGAACTATATTTAGTGAATCCTGATGTTGTTGCGTCTTGCCAGGCGCAATGCATATGATGGAGTTGAAGAGTTTTGGATCGTTATTCGTGAAACGGCCCTGCACACCACCGAGACCTCCTATGAGGAGCAGCATCAGAAAAATGCCAAGGCCCCCGGCATTCTTTCAAATCCTTTCCGATCATGTAGTTCAACTTCCCAGCTTGCTTCACCTGATGGCAGGCGACGGAGGATCCTACTTTCAAAGACGCTGGCATGGGGGATGCTCCTTTCGCTGGCTTGGATGCAATGCAAAAACGGGGTGAGTCTGAGGTAGCCGCAGGTAAAGCTGACCCAAATCACGACCGATATGGCCAGGCCTGGTGTTTGTATGTTAAATTGGATTAGATTAGATATATGATATTGAATACCTGTGCTGGTCTTAGGGAATCTAAGATACCCCAACTGCATGCAGTCAAACCTGGATGGATTTAGACCCAACAACTTTGCCAATGATAAAGCATATTTGAAACATTAATTGTTGTTTTCCAGATCTGTCCAATCCCTGGAAGGTTCGGGAGGATCTCAAGCGTTTCCTTGACTCCATGATGTCTAAGAGTGGCAAGTTGAGATCCCTTGTTCGGGAGTTGAATACCAACTACAGCCAGGATGCTGGAGCCATGCAGCTACTTACCTGGAAAAAAAAACATGCAATGCATGATGAACGATTAATCTTTTCCTGGAATCCGTTTTGGGATATTTCCACCCATACACCTCCATAAAAATTTAAAGAGATGGTTTCTCCCATTCCACCTTCCTTCCAATGCTCAGGTGCTTACCTGCCTTGGAAAAGGCAATCAAGGAGGTAGATGGGGCGTACGACGCCTGCAACGAAGCATGGGCACTGGGAGAGGCTGACAAATTCCGGAGTCAGAAGTCTCTCGATTCAAATCATAACCGCAATTGGTATACTTAGGATTTATAAGTTGTGAAATCATGTAGTATAGTCAGGTTAGCAACTGAATGGGTTGATCAGAAGAAAATCAGCTATCATGCACGCATTAGACAACTGCACTCCTAAACATATATATATATTATATATCATACATCCATCTGGTCTGGGCCCGTGTGAGGTTTGTTGACACGGCGGAGGAACAGATGAAGAAGGCAACCTTCACGTGCTCACCTCATACATATATATCGATATTTTGATGGATCTGAAAGAATGGTTCAATACTGTTTGTTTTCTTGAGCTATCCCCTGGTTGAAATTGTTCTTTTTAGTTAACCTTATCCACCTCAGGTGCAGCAAAGCTCTCGCAGTTGAAAACAAGATCAGGAGAGCCGTTTTTGGGGTATCATCCACATGCCTGGTGTCCAGTCCTAACATGATCATTGATCAAGATGCGTGCTATATATTTTATGTCTTGCTGTTCTGGCATGCATTGATCCGACCCATGGACACATGTTTAAGTTAGATTGGTACTGCCGCAACACTCCAGGAACGCAAAGAAGTACTACTCCAAGAATGCGAGGGAGGTGGCAGCGCCCAAAGGACCGAACAAGGGAGTGAACAAGGGACCGACCAACAAGTCCGGCAATACTGAGCCGGAAACCACTGCAAAGTCAAAGGGTGCCAAGCCGGTCAAAAAGACCGCCAAGGGCAAGTCAAAGTCTCGCTAGTTAGTTTTCTCTTGAGAGCATGGACCACATGAACCATGCTGCGAGTGGCCAGGAACGCTTAGAGGCTTACCTAGCTGACACCTGCACACTGGGAGCATATCATATATATAGGTGTGAGTTGTATAGTATCCCATACATTTCACAAACAAACCGTTCGAATTCGTGTTCAATCGATCTTTAGTATGCAATATGAACAAATTTAATACCAAAACCATTCATGAAAATATTTTTTTTTGTATTGGGATCATGAAAAACCAGTGTGGGCGTGCAGAAGCACTGCGTTGTCCTCGGCTTTTCGGGGTCTTCTGGGATTAGAACCTGTTCCAACGGGCAAATCCCAAATTGTCCTTGGTGTTGGCCAGAACTCCAGCACCATGAAGTGCACCTGACGGGGTGACTCAGCCGGTGTGAGCAAACAATGTTGTGCTGAAGGGGTTGGGTGAGATCACTGACCATTGAGACAGCATCATGAAATCACATAAATTAAAAAAACATGTCGGTTGATTGAGTACCCCTAGCAGGAAGGAAAGCATAACCATCATAAGATCAAACTATGACTTCAATTTCTGGGACAAAAGTTATGAAACCCTATCTTAATGAATGTCTCCCTCAGCCAGGTCAGCCTGCGGGAAATGCATTGAGAAGTTTCAGCGCTGACATTGGTCAGGGTGTCGAAGCCTCAATGGGATGGAACGAGTCAGAATATGTGAACAGAAAGATTTGACACCCGTGTATCTACAACTGCAGCAATTGGCTTAATTCATTAACTATGATCCATATGGTCCCTGCTCGTGTGCCGATGCCATCATGCAGTGTTCTCCCATTGTCGAAGATGACTGGCTAGTAGAACTTTTATTTTCTCACCGGACTGTCCCTTGATTGCATGAATTTTCATTTGCACAGCCTCTCCAGTATAAAATCCAAGTCAACTTTATATTTTATATATACTATATACTTATTATATATTATATATATATATTTATAAAAAAATATATATATATATATATATTCCCAGCTCATTCCAACAATTTGCAAACATGTTTTCTCAAATCCTTGCAGCTGAATAGATCCTGCCAATCAAGGATGCCACGTACCCGTTTCCATGGGCTACTTCACAGACTGCAACGCCATCATCTAATGTGAAATCTTTGGGGAACATCCCTACGGCGGAGACTGGAAAACGCAAATTTGAAACTGTCAGCAAATCAGGTTTGGGTCACAGAGCAACTGCATGGGAACATGAAAAATTTTCGGAATATGTCAGCCGCTACCCCCAAATTCAGGACTTTCAGAACCAGTTGGAAGATCAATTCCCAGGGCAAGTGAGTTTTCATTTGCCACGTTTGGATGCCTTGTCTGGAACCGTTGTGCGACATTGTTCAAACTTCTTGGACAATTTGATTGAAGTCCAGGGTCCGGTGATGTTCAAAGTTGGTTTCACCCACAACCCTGTTTGGAGATGGGGTAGTCCTATCTATGGCTATGCCTCGAAAGCAACAAAAGAGAAATACTCCAACATGTCGGTGATATATGCAGCTCCGGAACCTTACAGCCCCGCTATGCTGGAAGCAGCATTGATTGATAAATACAAAAGACTCTTAGTTTAATTGATGATATATTTGTCGTTGTTTTCTTCCGTGTGCTATGATGTACCCCATCCATCTGTTATTTAGGGTGCCAAAATCAAGACTGTTTTAAAAATCTATATTTTTCAATTTTTGTCTTTGGGCCCTGGCACTTCCATCCGTCAATTCCCTGTTTCGCCAAGGTACCGTTGGATGCAAAAACGAGAAGAGCGGTGGTGACACATGCAAATGGGAGGGCCAAACCTCAGGTGATCAGCTGTTTATGGTGTACATTGTGTTTAGATCTTTTAAGCACCCGCCACCTGTAAAAAGAACACGCGTTTGAAACTGCGGGCATGTTGATGCAAATGGTCTTGTGTATAGATGCATGACCTGAATGTCTAAGCCCGGCAGTGGCTTGAAGGATGTTGGATTGTAAAACAACACTTGCTGAATTGACAATTTGCTCAAGTCAGAGCACTGCCTTGTGGGAGAAACCACTGCATGCGAAGCCCAATGGGTTTAAGAAAACCAGATTGCAGATCCGTGCTGACAGTGCAGTCACTTTTGCAACCCAGCTTTGTGCATATATTATACATATCGGTCTATGTTTGTTATATCATCTCTCGATCTCTCCCTGCCATTTATATATAAAAAATATCGCTTTCTCTCTCTCTCTCTCAATTTGTCTCTTCTATTTTTGATCTCTGCACTCTTTATATATAATCTTTTTTTTGCGCTTTCGCTGAGGCCCCTTGCGCTGGGATCATTCGATCCGCGAGAGGCTTTGTGAGAGATGTGGGCAGGGAAGCCGCTGCTAGGTCAGGTGGTTTGCTGAAATTAGCCAGCCGTTCTGTTGGTCAGGCAGAAAGGGATTGCCACAGGCTGGTTGGTCAATATAACCTTGGCCTGCCAATTCCCAAGACGGATCTGAAAACTGGACGTGGTTTCTCAATACCTGTACTGAGACTTCGTGATTGGGCACAATTCTTGATTGATGCAAACCACTCTCATATGCTGGTCGGGCTGTGGAAGCCAGATTGGGAACGTGAGGCTGCCATACTCAAGAAATTTTGGGAGCTGTTTCGTTGCCAGAATCCTGACCATCCGGTGTTCGAACAATCTCGTCTTGGCAACTTGGATTTAGGGAAAACTTTTCCCATGGTTTTTCATGGGGACGAAGGCAGAGGAAGAAAGCACACTCCTCAACTTGTTCTCAATTTCCATTCGGTGCTTGGAAGAGGTGTTCGGGTCAAAAACAAGAAGAAAGCAGGCTCTTACATCAAGATGTCTCCCAATTTCCATGGCCACTCGCTCACTACGAGGTTCTTGCTTGCAGCAGTGCCAAAGGTTCTCTACAGCTGGGACAACGATGAAGTTTGGCAAGATTTGATGCAGCTCGCGACAGATGAGGCAAATTTTATGTTTTATGAAGGCGTGCTCGATGGCACATGTCGACGTGGCAAGTTCAACATGGCTTTGCTTTTTATCTCAGGAGATTGGCCATGGCTTGCTGATTCGGGCAACCTGGCGAGGAGCTACCGCAATGTGCAGAAAAAGAAGAACCAGCAAAGACACCTTGGCATTTGCCACATGTGTGCTGCGGGCCAGACCGGCTATGACTTTGAGGAAATCAACTCCCGGCAGCCGCAGTGGCTTCGCACGATGTTTACGCTGGACTGCTTCTCCGAAGGTGGACCCCCACCATTTGCAGATCTACCTCATGTGCCAGGGCGTCTGGCAGAGCTATGGAGGTTTGATGCTTTTCATACCCTTCACTTGGGCGTGTGCAAGATCTTTTTGTCCAGTTCTTTGGCCCTGCTTTCAGAACTCCAGCCAGAATCTGCGATCGACGACAGATTCGCATCCCTCAGTGCATTGTATCTGTCATGGTGCAAGACACACAGCGAACGGCCATGGGTGAGCAAATTGACCAAGGAATTGCTCAATTGGCCAAGTACTACAGTATTCCCGACAGGAAGCTGGCACAAGGGTGCGCTTTCGACAACATTGATGAGATGGTTTCAATTTCGCTTTGAACGTGAGGGTTCCAATTGGCCTCCGATGCTTGCACGGGCTGGTGAGGCATGTGTCTTGATGAACGATTTCTTGAAGGGCCTATACGATGCAGAAGCCTGGTTGCCCGCGTCAACTGCACAAAAAATCGCTGAAAATGGTTTTGCATTTTTGATTCAATATGCTCGCCTGGCTCGGATGGCATACCTGGAAGGAAGGCTGCTGTGGTCATTGCAGCCCAAACTGCACTGCCTCCACCATTTGGTAATCTATCTCTTTGAGTCTTCTGTATCTGGACATCGCGTACTCAACATCCTTTGTTTTTCAACCCAACAAGACGAAGATTTTGTAGGGCGACCGAGTCGTCTGGCTCGTCGAGTCACCCCCAAAGTCTTGCAAAGCTGCCATCGCGTCCTGGAGAGATATTTAATTGCCACACATTCGCAGTGGGTGAAGGATCGATATCTGCTGACACCAGAAGCAAGTGCTGGCTCGGTGTCAAGATGAAATTGGTGTATCTTGAGCCATTTGCTTATATATGTCTTCTATATTTTCTCTCCTATAATTATATGTGTAAATATATATTATAAATATATATAGTCTCCTATATAGTTGGGTTGCAGTATATATATGTGCTTTTGTTTTTGCACTGACCCTTGCAGGCTGAGGCCGGCACTGCTACATTAGATATAGCAATACGCGTGATCTCCACGCGCTTGAGCTCAAAAATGACACATCTGTGCTGTGGGCTGGTGAGGCTGAAAATCCAAAACCCCGGGTTTTCATTTGAAACCCCGGGTTTGAAGCTAGACCCTGCGAATTTTAAGGGTTAGGTAGGTGAAGGTATATAATATTATATAATTATATATATTTATTAAAATATCCGATGTAATATACCAGCTCTAATTGATGCGGATCCTAATTCTATCCTGCTCTGGTTTTGCATCATTTCCGCATCACACCCAAGCTGTCCTCGATGTTCCCCAGACCATAGCTTCCAAGCGTGCGCCTGAGCGTGCGCCCTGAAAACCACACCCTAAACCTCACCCGGGTCATCCAACTGGGCGTGAATCAAACATGCAAAAATTGCCCATGCATATCTATCTATCTGTCTGTCTGTCTGTCTGTCTACCTACCTACCTACCTATCATTCTATCAATCTAATTTTTCTTTCTTTCTTTCTTTTCCATCTTATTTATCTATCCATCTTATCTATCTAATCTATCTAATCTATCTAATCTATCTATCTATCTATCTACCTACCTATCTACCAATCTACCTGTTTATCTATCGGTCCATCCGTCCGTCCATCTATCTAAGATTCTCAAATGATCATAGATGGACTTCTCAAGGTTCATGGCTCAAGGTTCATGGCTCAAGGTTCATGGCTCTTGCCCCAGAAGATTTGACACACACACACACACCCACCCAGATTTACACCAGCTCAACTGCCAAGTTGCTCATCATCCAACTCCTACGATGGGAGGAGGCGATGAAAGCCTGGTGATTTAGTCTACTTCAGACTCAATCGTATTGAAGGATATCTAAGGTCACTTCTGCACACATAGCAGGTCAAACAAGTCATAGTATAGTAAAGTATAGTATAGGAAAGTATAGTAAAGTATAGTATAGTATACTCCCAGTCTTGGTTGGTTGCTCCTTTGCACCACGATCCTCTGATCAAATCATTGGTGGCTCCTTGCCGAAGAGGATCACCCGCAGCTTGCCGGACACGCCAGCGACGGCAGCGACCTTGCCCTTGACAGCGGAGACGTGGCTCTCTTTGTCTGCCTCGATGTGGAACAACTCCTCGACCACGGCTGAAATGCCACGTTTGGGGCGCCACCAGTGGTGCCTTTTAAGTATGTTTGGCTTGGAAACACATCTAACTAATTTTAACCAATATAGAATACAATAGATGATATATCACGATATGTTTATATACCATGTCATGTTGCCTCATGATCAAACAAATGAAACATGTCTGGACTTTTGGCGAAGAAAAATGGGGACGATTGGACTCTGGTTTCCCTTTCGTGGAACCCCTTGACCGTCCCCTCTCTTTGGGGAACTGGCTGATGCAGGACACGATCTTTGGCATTGGTCCATGCCACAGCGGACGGGTACGTGAATGGTCATGCAAAATGACATGTCATGCTTGACATTGCTCATGGCCCATGCGGTTGCAGGAAACTTTGTCGAAACATCGTCAGGTGGTTGCCCTTTCGAAGGGCTGACTGAACATGGCGGATGTTGGCGGACAATTCCGCACTGCTTCTAAGCGGTTGAACGCAACAAACATGGCATCCCCTTCCCAGGCACGTCTTTTTTGTGCTATTGGGATCAACCCTTCGCACCCGTCCTTGGCGTAGATGCTCGAAGACATGCCCCAGTAGCCTGCTGGCTCTGCTCCGTTGTTCGGCTGCAAAATCTTCACTGCGACCATGGGTGCCATGGCTGTTGGCAACACGACAGCCTCGTCTGTGGACTTGCAAGAATGACAACAATACCTTAAAGTGGAAACAAACAAAATAACTAGTAATGTCCATTTCTTCAATGTTTCTCAAACGTTGTTCTTTTATTTGCTTTTCATTTCTTTACATTGTTGGTTGTTGAATGACTTGTTGGGTGTGATGAAACATGTGATTGCAAGGCAGATCACCTTGGCTTTGCTGGGTCAAACATTTTCCATTAGTTTTGACGTTCTTTCTTCAAAACTTCCTTCGACCATACGAAAGCCATATTCCAAAGATACACTGTCCCACTGGGAAGAACAAAATGGATGAGTAGCAGCTTGCCATCAGCAATGCTCAACACGAATCAACGACATCATGCTGGACACTGGGGCATATCTTCTTGCAACATCATTTGGAACCGACGAAGAGGAACCTGTGGGCATAACTGGCATCCCTTCACGAGTTTGATTCACCTCGAAACTCTGGGGGCATCCGACATCAAATGAGCTAGAGGTACCCTCTGTAAACTAACATAACTATGGAAAATCACCATTTTTCATAAGAAAATTCTCTATAAATGGTGATTTTCCATAGTTTTGTTAAATTACCAGAGGGTAATATGATGCAACAGGAGTTGGTATCTCGGGCCCACGACCCAGGTCCAGAACCTCTGAAACTCTGCACCATCATGCTCCATTTTCCGTGCAGCACCAATGTCAAAGCCAGTATTTTTCAAGTATACTGGCGAAACCACACCCGACTTAGTCTGGGTGGTCGTGGTTGCAGTGGTAGGCCATATCTGGCCAAATTTCACTATTTCACCGACCAAACGATAATCTCCCTGTTCATTTTGTGGAGGGGAAATGGTTTTGTCATCATGTACCAAATGATTATCGAGTATGATCCAACAATAGGTTGAACATATAGGATATCTGTAATATTCTATACTATTCTATAATTATTAATAGTAAGTCTATGGATATATCCAATTCTAGGATAGTCCAAAAAATATCAACACTAGATTGTTGTTGGATGGCATGACAATGGTTACTGGATCCAGTTGGTATATCTGGGTAAATTACAATATTAAATAAGGCAAGTTGGGGATGATTCCCCAAACAAATGGCCCATAAACTATGATTTCAGTGAGGTCTGAGGTCTCAGTGAGGTCACTATAATTTATCCAGATACTTATAATCCAGATAACTGTGATTTATCCAAATAAAACGATCATTCCTCATGTTTTCCTCTTTGGATCCACTGAATTTCCTATCCATCACAAATTTGGGCCGGCGCGCGAGATCATTTGCCCAGATCTGAGAAGCCACATAATTGACTGGTTGGTGGGCGGTAGCCATCCCTTCAAACACTCAGCAAAGCACAGCGCTTTCACATAATCTTACATATATTATATCATACATATCATAGTCATGGTTATATATGTACATATATATATAATTATATATATATATGTACATATATAATTATATATATAATTTTATGTATATATATAATTTATATATAAAACATGTTACATCTTGGATATATTTGTATAGATCTCCTTCCGCACATGTTATCCGTCCCCAACCAGATCCGGCCACGGCCACGGCCGGCCGATGGTCACGACGGTAGTACGGCGCTGGTGGCGGGCGACATTGGCATGGCGGAGGGGATCACCCGACTAAGCTGCTGGAGATTTCCGGAGTTGGTGTTGCGCCCTGGCGGGAGGTACCATGTCATGGATGTCCTAAAATCGAATCTGGTCGAGAGAAAAGGCTCTGAGGGGTCTCCCATATTTCAATCAGTAAATGATTTTTGAGGGTATGCCAAACTAACCCTTGGAACTTCTTGCAGTGATGGAAAATCACCATGATAATAGCTAAATGATCAAACATCATTCTATGAATGGGTAGCTGCTGCTCCTATGCTATCCATTAATGGTTACCCCCGATATGTGCGAATCCCATTCACTGTATAATGTATGGCCTCTTAGTTCATCTTTCAGATCTATCATGATCTATCTATAATCTAATCTAATTCAATGTGATCTGGTCCATCGATTGATCCAGTTTATCTATCGATCTATCTGACCCCGGCATGAACAATCATGAACAGGTCTTATACCAATTATTTTTTTTGGACGTGTTTATGTCATTAGGGGAACGGATTCGTTTCGCCCATCAAATAAGCCGCCTTCTCCGATGCGCAAGGGCGGCACAACAGGAATGCCTCCACTCAGCAGTAATGGTTGCCGTAGAGGGGGGATACATCTATGTAAATAGTTTACTGTGGTTGGTTCCAGTCACTTAAAGCTGTAACAAAGTGTGAACAAACTCTGGATCACTTTCCTGAACTGAAGCAGTAGATCAAACACTCAAAGGATTTCGGATGTTTCTGAAGACATGCATCAACTCTCAAATAAAAAAACTTATGCACCACCCCGTGGGCCCAGAAAAGATGTGCTTCTGCCGTAGAGGTTTCAACTATGGCAATGGGATTGACTGAAAATGCGGAGAAAACCATAAATTCCACTAGTTGATATCATCTTTTTTCCCATTAAATGACCGTAAATTGGGGTACAGTACCCTATTTTAACCCCTGTTATAAATATATTATAGTCAGTTGCGGTCCACAACCTTACTCACACAGGCAGGACGTTGAATTAGATTACTGGCTCTGTCTGATGTGCATATATCTATATGTATGCATTTCCACCGCATCATATATACGTGTGCATACATGCTATACCGAGTATATATAATCGAAGGAAGTTTAGACGTCAAACTTCCGACAATATGGACAGATGAAAAGCAGAGTAGGGAAGAGGCAGAGAGAAGAGAAAGATTAGAAGAGATACGGGTAGAAGAGAAAGAGTAAGATGCGCGAAAAGGTAGGAAAGTCGCGACTCACTGTGTTTTTCCAATGATTTGTGGCTCCGGAGGGTGGAAAAGTAGGCTCGCTAAAGCGGCGGGTGCAGAGCCAGCTGGCCAGATGAGAGATGAAAAATTGCACGCCGTTGTGGCGCGAAGCACATTTCCAAGTCAAAATGTACAAAACACACCAGGTCCGGACCACTTTCGGCAGTTGAGATGTCGAAAAAGTGCACGCCATTGTGGCGCGAAGCACATGTCGAAGTCAAAATGTACAAAGCACACCAGCTTCGGACCACTTTTGGAAGTTGCGATGTCGAAAAAGTGCACGCCGTTGTGGCGAGAAGCACATTTTCAAGTCAAAATGTACAAACACACCATGTTCGGACCACTTTTGGAAGTTGAGATGTCGAAAAAGTGCACGCCGTTGTGGCACGAAGCACATTTCGAAGTCAAAATGTT